AAAGAAAGAAAGAAAAGAAAAAAATTCATACTGTAAACTGGTACAGCCTTTCTTTCTGGAGAGCAATTTGGGGCATATGCACCAGTAGCCTTAGAAGGCTCATTCTTTTGACTTAATTATCCTGTTAGTGGTGAGATGATTAAAGATGCGGCCAAAATTTATGTGAAAGGTATGCATCACATCTTCACTCAGTCAGGAGAATTGGGGAAAACCTAACCGTTAATAGTTTATCCAAAATTCATATATATATAATATATACGTGTATATATGTGTATATATATGTATTATATATGTGTGTACATATACGTATTCTACATGTGTATATATGTATTATATGTGTGTATTATAATATACGTATATATACATATTATATGTGTATATATGTATATTATATGTGTGTGTGTATATATATACACACGTGTGTGTGTGTGTGTGTGTGTATATATTCCAAATTTTCTACACTGAGATTAGATTAGGGATTTTGACAGTCCCACTCTGTTACCCAGGCTGGAGTGCAATGGCACAGTCATAGTTCATTATAACCTAGAACTCCTCGGTTCAAGCAATCCTCCTGCCTCAGCCTCCCAAGCAGCTGGGACTGCAGGTGCACACCATCACACTCAGCCAATTTTTAAAATTTTTTTTGTGGAGATGGAGGTCTTGCTGTGTTTCCCAGGCTCATCTTGAACTCCTGGCCTTAAGCAATCTTCCTGCCTCAGTTTCCCAAAGCACCGGAACTGTGGGCAGAAGCCACTGTACCCAGCCAGTGTTTTTTTTTAAATTTAATTAAACTTTAAAAAAGAAAATGCAGGGAATTGAGTAGTCCAGTTTGGTTGAGCACAAGTTATATTGAGGCAGTCATGGAAAATAAAACAGGAAGAGAGCATGGGGAGCATGGAGTGGAAGGCTGGGACTTGGTAACTGGACAGATACAGAAAAGAAAGTCTAAGCACCCCAGCGAAGCTTAAGTGTACATAGGGAAGTTCAGGTATTCTTAAAAGGTGCACAGAGAGAATTTTTGTTTTTTTTGAGACAGGGTCTCACTTTGTTGCCCAGGTTGGATGGCAGCGGTGCAGTCACGGCTCACTGCCGCCTCAACCTCCTAAGCTCAAGCAATCCACTCACCTCAGCCTCCCACGAAGCTGAGACCACAGGCATGCGCCAGCACACCCGGCTAATTTTTAGTGCTTTTTTTTGAGACAGGGTTCCACTATGTTGCACTGGCTGATTTCGAACTATTGGGCTCAAGTGATCCTCCTGCCTCAGCCTTCCAAATTGCTGGGATTACAGGTGTGAGCCACTGTGACTGGCCAGGGAGAAATTTTTTTTTCCCAGGGTGCTTTTTACTTTTTCTTTTTTAATTTCCATAGTTTATTGAGGAATAGGTGGTATTTGGTTACATGAGTAAGTTCTTTAGTGGTGATTTATGAGATTTTGGTGCACCCATAACCCGAGCAGTATAGGCTGCACCCGATTTGTATATTTTATCCTTCACCCCCTTCCTACCTTTTCCCCCTGAGTCCCCAAAGTCCATTGTATCATTCTTATGCCTTTGCGTCCTCATAGCTTCACTTCCACTTATGAGTGAGAACATACGATGTTTGGTTTTCCATTCTTGAGTTACTTCACTTAAAACAATAGTCTTACCGGGCACGGTGGCTCACGCCTGTAATCCCAGCACTTTGGGAGTCTGAGGCGGGCAGATCACAAGGTTGGGAGATCAAGACCGTCCTGGCTAACACGGTGAAACCCTGTCTCTACTAAAAATACAAAAAATTAGCCAGGCATGATGGCGGGTGCCTGTAGTCCCAGCTACTCGGGAGGCTGAGGTAGGAGAATGGCGTGAACCCGGGAGGCAGAGCTTGCAGTGAGCCGAGTTCGCGCCACTGCACTCCAGCCTGGGTGACAGAAGGAGACTCCATCTCAAAAAAAAAGAATAATAGTCTCGAATTCCATCCAGGTTACTGCAAATGCCATTAATTAATTCCTTTTTATGGATAAATAGTATTTCATCATATATATATAAAATCAATGAGTGGATAAAGAAAATGTGATATATATATCACATTTATCACATATATCATATATATATATCACATTTTCTTTATCCACTCATTGATTTTCATGTAGTTCTAATCGTAGAATTCATACATTTTTTTCTATCTTGCATTTTTCCCATAACATCACAAACATTTTCTAGGTTGCCATATTGTCTTCATAGTTACTTAAATAATATTCCATCAAGTAGTACAATCATTTATTTCACGAGTCCCCTAACTTTAGACATTTTGGTTGTTTTTGAAACTCAATAATGTAAATAACACTGTGATAACAATGTTTATGTAAATGCGTATTTTGGATTATCTCCTTAGGATGGATTCCCAGGAGTTACATTAATAGGTCAAAGAGTATGAGCATATTTTCATGGCTCTTGTTTTATTGCCTTTGAATTTCCACTGGCCTCAAGATTGCTGGTTTGCTCCCTTATGATCACCAGAGTTACTCCCTCTGTCCAAATTCTTTACCTTCCCAAACTGGGAAGGCCATGACTCAACGTCATATATATAGTAAAGGCTATTATAACCTTCCCCAGAATTTTCCAAGTCAGTGGCCTTTCCAAGCAAAGGCCATTTTCCAAGCAAAGTGGCCTTTGGCTATTAAAATCTGAATTCAGAGGGCTCGTGAGACTCCGTGTTGTTGTAGAATTTAAGCTGCTTAATTTGCCATGTTGTTTAGACACCACTTAATACTTTATTACAAATGACTTGTCCACATCTCTCACCTACAAACTTTGTCCTCCTACTAACATGCCTCCTGCTCGTCAAATGAGGCTGCAGTTGAGTCTTTAAGATTCAGTGGGAAGGCGGCTCTTCCTCTGGTGTGGGCGCATGCTCTTCATGCTGAAGCTCAGCTGAAAAGCCTCCTGCTGGGTTTTCCGCCTCTTTCCCTCCCACCGCACACACCCCAGGGTGTTGGCGCCACTTCAGAGGGAGCCTATGGGTGAAGAAAGCACAGGTAAAGGCAGAGGGCTGATAAGGGGGCCGTAAATTTAAAAAGTAAGATTTCTGGCACTATCAACTATCGCTTGTTTTCAAATATGCATATGGAGTGGATATTCCAGTTTTCATGTCTGCGTTGTTTTTGTTTTTTTTTTTTAAAAAGATCTTTCAAAGAAGTGTGCAGTTTTGTACATGCCAACATGGTGTGTTTGGTGTTAAACTGTCAGGGCTGACTGGTCACTTGGAAGGGGCAAGGGCTGAGGTGCATGCAGGTGTGGGCTGGTTACTCACGGGCACTGCATGCAGGTATGGGCTGGTTACTCACGGGCACTGCAGACCTTTGTGCCTCGGGAGAGTTCTGTTTGCTGGAGCCCTTATTCTGGCCAGCAGTGTCACAGATGCACACTGTAAGACATAGACAGTCTTGGAAAGAAAGGCTTTAAAAATTCCTACTCCTTCCAGCAAAGCAACCCATCTTTGGCTATGAAGAATAACACAGCCAAGTGCAGTGGCTCATGCCTGTAATCCCAGCACTTTGGGAGGTCAAGCTGGGCAGATCACTTGAGCCTAGGAGTTCAAGATCAGCCTGGGAAACATGGTGAAACCCCATCTCTACCAAAAAAATAGCCAGGTTTGGTGGTACGTGCCTATAGTCCCAGGTACTCGGGAGGCTGAGGTGGGAGGATCACCTGAGCCTGGAAGGTGGAGGTTGCAGTGAGCCAAGATCATGCCACTGCACTGCAGCCTGAGCAACAGGGTGACACCCTGTATCAAAAAAAAAAAAAAAAAAGAAAAGAAAAAAAAAAAGAGTAACACATTATTAGAAATGAGCATTCTTAGGCCAGGCACAGCAGCTCACACCTGTAATCCCAGCACTTTGGGAGGCCGAGGCGGGTAGATCACGAAGTCAGGAGATCGAGACCATCCTGGCTAACACGGTGAAACCCCATCTTTACTAAAAATACAAAAAATTAGCCGAGCGCGGTGGCAGCGCCTGTAGTCCCAGCTACTCAGGAAGCTGAGGCAGGAGAATGGCATGAACCCGGGAGGCGGAGCTTGCAGTGAGCTGAGATCACGCCACTGCACTCCAGCCTGGGCAACAGAGCGAGACTCCATCTCAAAAAAAAAAAGAAATGAGAATTCTGAAATAGTCGTCCATATGATGCTTTTGACAATTCAGCAGGAACATAAAGGATGTAAGAAATGAATGCATATGTTAGGCCTCTTGTTGACCTGTGGACTAAATTGTTTCTCCCTGCAGAGATCAGCAAGGACAACTCCTGCAAAGAAAACTGTACTTGTTCCTCCTGCTTGCTCCGGGCCCCCACCATCAGTGACTTGCTCAATGATCAGGACTTACTAGATGTGATCAGGATAAAGCTGGATCCGTGTCACCCAACGGTGAAAAACTGGAGGAATTTTGCAAGCAAATGGGGGATGTCCTATGATGAATTGTGCTTCCTGGAGCAGAGGCCACAGAGCCCCACCTTGGAGTTCCTGCTGCGGAACAGTCAGAGGACGGTGGGCCAGCTGATGGAGCTCTGCAGGCTCTACCACAGGGCCGACGTGGAGAAGGTTCTGCGCAGGTGGGTGGACGAGGAGTGGCCCAAGCGGGAGCGTGGAGACCCCTCCAGGCACTTCTAGAGCTCTTCTTCTTCCTTCATTGGCCTCTCCGGACGTTGAAACAACCACAGGTGAAGAAGGAATGTGAATCTGTTCTTTTGTAGGAATTTAGTATGAGGACGTGGAACGGTGGACACTGGTTTTCCCCAAAGCTGGTAGTTTTGTGGAGAGGTAGCTTGTTTCGGTGGTGGATCTCTGTCTGTTTAGTTTTGCACATCTGTTTTAATTTAATATTCAAATCTGGAATTAGGAAAGCATATTTTCTAGTATCCGCTAAGGGCCAAAGTCCTGCAGTCGGAATGGATTCATGCCATGATGAAAATAAAATTATCCTCTCCCTGAAATACGGCTAAAGATTTAAATAGGTCCTGAGACTGCTGATAGGCCCAGACATACCCACAGCACTATATGTAACATCTCTTCCTGATCAGCGCCATTCCCACGGTTTCAAAGAAAACAGCAATGAGGAATGCTCACCTCAGTGTCTGCAGCACCCTCCACGTCTCTCCTAGGCGATGAGACCCAGTGGCTAGAAATTCACCACGTCTATTCTCAAGATCCATGCCAGGGAGATCTTTGACTCTTGTGGGAATCCCACTATTGAGGTCGATCTCTTGACCTCAAAAAGTCTCTTCAGAGCTGCTGTGCCCAGTGGTGCTTCAACTGGTATCTGTGCGGTCCTAGAACTCCAGGACAATAATAAGACTCACCATATGGGGAAGGGTGTCTCAAAGGCTGTTGTGTACATCAATAAAACTATTGCACCTGCCCTGGTTAGAAAAAAACTGAACGTCACAGAACAAGAGAAGATTGACCAACTGATGATCGAGATGGATGGAACAGAAAATAAATCTCAATTTGTGGGAACGCTATTCTGGGGTTTCCCTCGCCGCCTGCAAAGCTGGCGCTGTTGTGAAGGGGGTTCCCCTGTACCACCACATTGCCGACTTGCCTGGCAACCCCAAAGTCGTCTTGCCAGTCCCGGTGTTCAGTGTCATCAATGGCAGTTCTCATGCTGGCAACAAGCTGGCCATGCAGGAGTTCATGGTCCTCCCAGTCGGTGTGGCAAACTTCAGGAAGCCATGCCCAGTGGAGCAGAGGTTTACCACAACCTGAAGAATGTCATCAAGGAGAAATAAGGGAAAGATGCCACCAGCGTGGGGGATGGAGGCGCATTTGCTGCCAACATCCTGGAGAATAAAGAAGGCCTGGAGCTGCTGAAGACTGCGATTGGGAAAGCTGGCTACACTGATGAGGTGATCATCGGCATGGACGCAGCGGCCTCCGAGTTCTTCAGGTCTGGGAAGTGTGACCTGGAATTCAGGTCTCCCGACGACCCCATAAGGTACATCTCACCTGACCATCTGGCTGATCTGTCCAAGTCCTGCATCAAAAACTACCCAGTGGTGTCTGTCAAAGGTCCCTTTGACCAGGATGACTGGGGAGCTTGGCAGAAGTTCACGGCCAGTGCAGGAATCCAGGTAGTGAGGGATGGTCTCACAGTGACCAGCCCAAAGAGGACGGCCGAGGCGGTGAATGAGAAGGCGTGCAGCTGCCTCCTGCTCAAAGTGAACCAGATTTGCTCCATGACTGAGTCCCTCCGGGCGTGCAAGCTGGCCCAGGCCAATGGTTAGGGTGTCATGGTGTCTCATCCTTCTGGGGAGACTGAAAATACCTTCATTGCTGACGTGGTGGTGGGGCTGTGCCCTGGCAGCTCAAGACTGGTGCCCCTTGCTGATCTGAGCGCTTGGCCAAGTACAACCAGCTCCTCAGAACTGAAGAGGAGCTTGGCAGCAAGGCTAAGTTTGCTGGCAGGAACTTCAGAAACCCCCCGGCCAACTAAGCTGTGGGCAGGCAAGCCCTTCAGCCACCTGGTGGCTAATTAGACCCCTCCCCTCGTGTCAGCTCGGGCAGCCGAAGGCCCCTGACCAACGTTTGTAGGGGCCGCTGCTAGTGAGCTCCCCTCGCCCACCGCCGTGGAGTTTGCACCGCTTCTTTAGAACTTCTACAGAAGCAGGTTGCAGTGAGCCGAGATCATGCCACTGCACTCCAGTCTGGTGACAGAGCGAGACTCCATCTCAAAAAAAAAAAAAAAAAAAAAGAACTTCTACAGAAGCCAAGCTCCCTGGAACCCTGTTGGCAGCTCTAACTTTGCGGTCATGTAATTGGCCCAAATCATTGTTTTTCTCGCCTCACTTTCCACCAAGTGTCTGGAGCCACGTGACCCTCCGGTGTCATCTCCAGGGTGGCCACAGGCAAGATCCCCAGTGATTTTGTGCTCAAAATAAAAAGCCTCAGTGACTCATGAGAAAAAA